GATCAATTGAATTAGGCAGCCTGCTGGACTTTTCTTCACACAGTCCATCCCCAAAGTTGTCAACTGCAGATGTGCAAATGGAGTAGATGATAATGAAGACTCTTGGCAGTGTGCTGTAGGCTAAAAAGCCAAACTAATTGCAATGTATCTTGCACAGTGTTGAAAAAACTCTGGATATGACTGAAACCAACTGTATGATATAAGCACAGGCATCCATACAATAGGGACAACTGGATATGGCCCAGAAGCTACAGAATTCTTGTGAAGATTTTTAGGGATGTATATTGGCACAAATCAGCCCCATTTATCCATCAACCTCCCTCGTATAATTGACTCTCATTTAGAAAACCTCCACACAAGCCCAAATTAGACTGGTAAACACATGTATTGAAATATAAATCCAGAGCTCAAAGCAAAAAGTCCAATATAATGAACCATAAGAATTGGAGCTTCGTTTGCCAGTACATGTAAGTCAAAGGGTCAAGCACAAGAAGAATCCATCATATGAGATTACTAATCACTGCTGCTGCATGAGCACTAAATTAGTGAAGCATTGGGTCCAGGAAAAAACAGCGCTGTGAGGGTATAGTAAATAACATTCACCTCCCAAGGAGGTATACCCTTAATAGAAGCAATATGTCATGATAAGTACATCAAAGAGTGTGGTGGCCAGGACAAGGTAGGAGAAGCGTCCGCTCCTCAGGGAACACGAGCCTGGAGAAAACTCCGTTGTAATGGGTGGCTGGAATCACCGGGGAATCCAGCAACCCATTACAATGGAGTTTTCTCCAGACTTGTGTTCCCTGAGGAGCGGACGGTTCTCCTACCTTGTCCTGGCCACCACACTCTTTGATGTACTTATCATGACATAATTCTTCTATTAAAGGTATACCTCCTTGGGAGGTAAATATTGTTTGCCAGTACATATACCATGTGTACCCTCAGGGCAGAAGTTGGAGATGTGGTTTCAATTCATTCCAATCGCCAAGTTATATCATAGATCCAAGACAGTTCAAAAACTGTCCCTTTTTCCATAGTGTGATTGGTATACTTATCAATCCATACGGTAATCTTGCACTGGTCCCGACATGGCTGGCAATTTGGCCTGACTGGTTTCGCCAGACCCACCCGGCTGCATCAGAGGCATGTGGACAACGAACTAACAAACTTCCCTATAAAAGGTTTTAAGATGGCTGCCAGAGGCTTGCTGCGCATAAAGTCATGATGCATGCACGTGATGTCATACGTGATGTCACGATGCAACCGCATTGCCGCCATCTTTGAAAGGGGAAACCCAGGAAGGAAGAGGTAAAGGACAAAGCACAAAAGCAAGGAGGAAAAAAAGGTATGCAAAAATTTTTTTTTCAAAATTAGAAGCTTGATGAATGGCCATTCAACAGGGGCAATGCAAAATTCCAGCAACGGGAAATCGAATAAAATAGAGTAACCAGGACCCAAAATCCCAATACCCTGCCCCCACAAAGATTTTGCAGTACCCATATCAGGCCACAAGATGTCTCCCTGAAGGGGAACAAAATCATGCAGGAAGTATACACAGTGGAAATATACATCAATTAACACATATATAAACAAAGAATAAACAAAGAAAAATATATGGATACTGTATATATATTTATATATATATATATCTCCTCCTCTGTCTCATCCACACCATGATGACGTCACTCCCACAAATGCACATGGGAGTCTCGGTGGGCAGCACACAGCTCTGAAGGAATAGTACGGGTATGTCGTTCCTTCAAAGCACATGCACCGGTGACGTCACCGGCTGCTGCTCACTGGAATATCCCCTAAACAATGCACATTTAGGAGATATTATTTTTACCTACAGGTAAGCTTTATTATAGGCATACCTGAAGGTAAAAATAAATAATGCGAGATTACTAACACTTTAGTTTTTGGGTCCCTGCTCCGGCTTGTGCAGCCATGTCTGGTGGATATCAAGCATGGTGCAGGGGTCTACAAACTTTCTAAACAAAGGGCAAGTTTACTGTCCTTCAGAATTTAGGAGGGTCGGACTAGCCATTGGGAGTAGAAAAGGTCCTGATGTCAGTGGCAGGAATGGCACCCCATCAGTGGTGTCATTGGGAGGAATTCTGCCTAATCATTGGTGTCATTGGGCCCCATTGTTGGTGTCCTTGGGAAGAATTGTACCCCTTCATTGGTGTCATTGGAGGAAAATATGCCTCATTGTTGGTATCAGTGGATGAAATAGTGCCCCAAGGGCAGGGTAAAAGCAAGCAAAGGGCCACAGTTTGGAGACCATTGATCTAAACTACTGTCAGAGCTACAGAATGAAAATGATGTCCCACAAGCCGCACATAAAACAACCCCATGTATCCAAGGGCTGTCAGCAGCCTCAGTCTATCACCATCCTGGCCACACCCTTCAACGCTTTTTGCTCTGCCCATGAAGCCTGGTTGAACCTACAAGCTGATGTGCCAACACACATTGCTCAGGTATTGTCCACCACTGTCAACACTGTATAAGGAAGCCAGCCCAAAGCAACAAGATGCAGTTGATGCTGGAGATAGTGCATGGAGACATGAAGTGGCTGAAAGAGATTAGCATCACTAAGATAGAAAAAGGATTAAAAAATAGTGAGAACAGTATAATATTTGTAGCCAGAATAGCTGTTAGTGAACTATTCAGGGTTTATAATGCATTTTTTTGTTTACATTTCCTGAATGTAATCCCTTTTTTGTCACAAGAGCAAGCAAAATCCTCTCTTGTATTAAAAGAGATATAGACTCCAGACAGAGAGATATCATTTTCCCCCGGTATAAATCATTAGTATGACCTCATCTGGAACATGCAGTTCAGTTTTGGACACCAATTCACAAAAAGAACATTGGGGAACTGGAGAAAGTACAGAGAAGGGCAACCAAACTAATACGAGACATTGAGGAGATCAGCTATGAAGAAATATTAGAGGAACTGAATTTTTTCTCTCTTGAGAAGAGAGATTAGGGGGGATATGATCACCATGTATAATACATAAGGGGGGGATATGATCACCATGTATAATACATAAGGGGGGATATGATCTCCATGTATAATACATAAGGGGGGATATGATCTCCATGTATAATACATAAGGAGGGATATGATCTCCATGTATAATACATAAGGGGGGATATGATCTCCATGTATAATACATAAGGGGGGATATGATCACCATGTATAATACATAAGGGGGGATATGATCACCATGTATAATACATAAGGGGGGATATGATCTCCATGTATAATATATAAGGGGGATATGATCTCCGTGTATAATACATAAGGGGGGATATGAGCTCCATGTATAATACATAAGGGGGGATATGATCTCCATGTATAATACATAAGGGGGGATATGATCTCCATGTATAATACATAAGGGGGGATATGATCACCATGTATAATACATAAGGGGGGATATGATCTCCATGTATAATACATAAGGGGGGATATGATCTCCATGTATAATACATAAGGGGGGATATGATCTCCATGTATAATACATAAGGGGGGATATGATCACCATGTATAAATACATCAGTGGTTCATATAGTGAACTCGGTGTAGAGTTATTCACCTTGAGGTCATCACAGAGGACAAGGGGGCACTCTTTACGTCTGGAGGAAAAGAGATTTAATCTCCAAATACAGAAAGGTTTCTTCACAGTAAGAGCTGTGAAAATATAGAATAGACTTCCTCAACAGTTGGTTCTGGCCAGCTCCATGGATTGCTTTAAAAAAGGCCTGGATTATTTCCTAGATACATAGAATATAACTGGATACTAACATTTATAGGTAAAGTTGGTTCAGGGAATATCCGATTGCCTCTTGGGGGATCAGGAAGGAATTTTCCCTCCTGCAGGAGCAAATTGAATCATGCTTTACTGAGGGGTTTTTTTGCCTTTCTCTAGATCAACTTTTCTTTTTTTTGTAATGGTTGAACTGGATGGACTTTTGTCTTTTTTAGCCAGACTAACGATGTAACCATGTAAAAAGATGGAACTTATTCAGACTTTGAGACCCTGATTCTTTCAAGAATGGAACACTGAATCCTGGGAGATGTAGTTTGGGTTAGGAATGGTGCAATACCATTGCAGGCAAAAGAAACTACAAGATCCAGTGTGCCCAGAGGCTGGAGGAGTCATATAAATAGAAAAGCCTGAGAAATAGTGGGGACAGTTGCGAGATAGCCACCGGTGTGTGCAGAAGGAAAGGATTTATGAGAGAGAGAGATAGAGAGAGTGCAGTGGAGGTCAGCTAAGAGACTGAGTGCAACATCAGTGGTGGGCCCTGTCAGATTCAGAGAGCCATGTGATTGAATGCAGACCACTGGACTGAGTTAAATTCAGGGTACCACCAGCTACTGTAGTCCCACACAGAGGTCTAACACTTGTATTGCTGGAGGGTTCAGAGCGTCCAGTATACACTTTATTGCCAAAAGTACTAGGGCGCCTGCTTTTACACCCACATAAACTTTAATGGCATCCCAGTCTTAGTCCGTAGGGTTCAATGTTGAGTTGGCCCCCCCTTTGCAGCTATAACAGCTTCAACTCTTCTGGGAAGGCCGTCCACAAGGTTTAGGAGTGTGTCTATGGGAATGTTTTACCATTCTTCCAGAAGTGCATTTGTGAGCTCAGGCATTGATGTCGGACGAGAAGGCCTGGATCACAGTCTCCGCTCTAATTCATCTCAAAGGTGTTCTATCGGGTTGAGGTCAGGACTCTGTGCAGGCCAGTCAGGTTTCTCCACCCCAAACTGGCTCCCCCATGTCTTTATGGATCTTGCTTTGTGCACTGGTGTGCAGTCATGTTGTAACAGAAAGGCGCCATCCCCAAACTGTTCCCACAAAGTTGGGAGCATGATATTGTTCAAAATGTCCTGTTATGCTGATGCCTTAAGAATTCCCTGCAGTGGAACTAAGGGGCCAAGCCCAACCCCTGAAAAACAACCCCTCACCATAATCTCCCCTCCACCAAACTTGGCACAATGCAGTCAGGCAAGTACCATTCTCCTGGCAACCTCCAAGCCCAGACACATCCATCAGCTTGCCAGACAGAGAAGCGTGATTCGTCACTCCAGAGAACATGTCTACACTGCTCTAGAGTCAAGTGGCGGTGCGCTTTACACTACTGCATCTGATGCATTGCATTGCAGGTGATGTAAGGCTTGGATGCAGCTGCCACTGACTCTGCAGACAGTTGGCGACTTCTGCATGCTTCAGCATGCGCTGACCCCGCTCTGTCATTTTACGTGAGTTGCTGTAGTTCCCAGTTGCTTCTACTTTGTTATAATACCACTAACAGTTGATTGTGGAAAAATTAGTAGCAAGGAAACTTCAAGGATGGACTTATTGCCGAGGTGGCAACATATCACGGTACCACGTTTGAATTCACTGAGCTCCTGAGAGCGTCCCATTCTTTCACAAATGTTTGTAGAAGCAATCTGCATGCCTAGGTGCTTGATTTTATACACCTGTGGTCATGGAGGTGATTGGAACACCTGAATCCAATGACTTGGAGGGGTGTCTCAATACTTTTGGCAATATAGTGTAGGTGCTTGTTGCCGCACAAAAGTCAGCCAGAGACCAATGATGTCCATGTTTCATCTGATCACTGCAGAAAGACATCTGAAATCAACACCATCTTAAAGGGGGTCCCCTTTATTGGAAGAAAGCCTGCTACAACAGATACAGTGAAGCTGGTTACTAGGTCTTTGACCCATTAGTGACCTCTTTGTTGAGTTTGTGCATATCTATTATCATGGTTTATTGCCTTAAACTGCTTCTACTGTTACTCCCTATCTGTTGGCTACTGAGCACCATTAGTCTTGTCAGCCTGGGCTTACCACCGAACTTTAACCAATTCAATACCGGGCAATTTTACACCTTCCGGCCCAGGCCAGTTTTCAGGTTTCAGCGCTCTCACACTTTGAATGGCCGAATGGTTAAAACCTTAAGCCTTTGTCTGGCCCTTCCACATCGGTGTTTCAAGGAGGTTATTGTTTTCTAGACCTTTCTCACTAGTGCAGGGATATCCATGCTCCATAGGCATGCCAGCATCTTCAAAGGCCCCAACATTGCCAGCAGAAGACCAAACCTAGAGATTGTACATAGTTTATCTGCTCTTGAGTGCAGTTTTTAGCACACAACCAGTTCTTTGTTAAAAAGGCCTAGGTTTAGCTCACTCTTTTTAAAGAGTCCATAGGCAACGTAGTCCTGATCTGTTTGGTACCAGTTTGTTGTTGCCTTGTGCTACTTGTTTGTAAGTGAAGCTACAGTTTATGCTGGTCTGGTCCAAGTTCATGGTAGTAACCTAATGAAATCAAGTGAAGCCTTGTTGTAGTATATCCTGCAAAAATTCTAATTGGTATATTCTGCTTGTGTGAGTACAATTTGCCAATATACTGCATTTACTTCACGATCTTGAGTTTCATTTCAGGGTGACCCTAAAGTATTAACAAAAAGTACTAATGTATCACTACTAACGGGTATACCTGAAGTGTCAGTGATGCTAAGGCGCTTGCAAAGATCAAAGAAAGAACAGAGGACCTGACATAAACAGCAGCTCCTGCGGGCGTGGCGCTTCATATGAAAAAAAAGAAATGGAAATTGTTCACGACACTCAGTGCTTTAGCAAAAAATGTCATGCAGTAGGAGGTTAGATCTACTTTGATACATTGAATGTTCTTCATAGTGCCATTGCACAAGTGAACATCACTGCTAATAATATGGGTTTTGCAAAAATGAAAAGTGAACATAAGAGTACATAGGTTGCCAACTCGAAGTAATAATGATGAATGAATGTCTCTGCTGGGAGCAAGTAGATTAACATGAATGGGGTGAATCACAGGCAATACAATAGTTTTTTGTTGAATAGTTCATCCCTTTATGATTCAATGTTCATCCCCCCATTACAGTGCTGCTTGCAGGGTCTTTGCATAGATCATCTTCTATCACACATCCTTTTAACCAGGAATGCAACGCAAAGATGTGTTCCCTAGCCATCTCACTGTGGTGTGTTATGCTTTCATTTTTGCAGTTTGCACTCGGGGATGATCTCTATGACAACATCCGCCATGTTGAGGTGACTGCAGAGACTTGTGTTGGTGTAGATACAGAAAGTTCTGTTTTGTCAGCTGGCCAACCCCTGATGAGCTTGGCATTAGTGGGCTTGACCCAGGGGTGTGCCGCCAATGAGGCAATGTGAGACAACCGTCTAAGGCGATGCTCTGTCCTCACTTCAGCTCAATATTGTGGCCCTGCTATATGAACATCAGGCAGTTGCTGGTAAAATCCACCTTAGCAGAGGCTCATAAACCCAGGTGCTGTTATCGTATTGGAATGTAATGGCTGCAAGGTAGAGGTCATTTCACATGACCTTCTCCCAAAGCACAGTTACACTATGTTTATATACACTATATTGCCAAAAGTATTGGGATACCTGCCTTTACACGCACATGAAGTTTAATGGCATCCCAGCGCATTTGTGAGGTTAGGCACTGATGTCAGACAAGAAGGCCTGGCTTGCAGTGTCCACTCTAAATCATCCCAAAGGTGTTCTATCAGGTTGAGGTGCAGGCCAGTAAGTTTCTCAACCCCAAATTCTCTCATCCATGTCTTTATGGACCTTGCTTTGTGGACTTTGCTTTGTGCACTGGTGTGCAGTCATGTTGGAACAGGAAGGAGCCATCTCCAAACTGTTCCCACAAAGTTGGGAACAGGAAATTGTCCAAAATGTCTTGGTATGCTGACGCCTTAAGAGTTCCCTCCACTGGAACTAAGGGGCCAAGCCCAACCCCTGAAAAACAACTACACACCATAATCCCCCCTCCACCAAGTTCCTCCACCCCAAACTCACTCATCCATGTCTTTATGGGGCTTGCTTTGTGCACGGGTGCACAGTCATGTTGTAACAGAAAGGCACCATCCCCAAACTGTTCCCACAAAGTTGGTAGCATGATATTGTTGAAAATGTCCTGTTATGCTGATGTCTTAAGAATCCCTGCAGTGGAACTAAGGGGCCAGGTCCAACACCTGAAAAACAACCCCTCACCATAATCCCTAACTCCACCAAACTTTGCACAATGCAGTCAGGCAAGTACCATTCTCCTGGCAACCGCCAAACCCAGACATGCCCATCAGATTGCCAGACAGAGAAGTGAGATTCATCACTCCAAAGAACACGTCTCCACTACTCTGGAGTCCAGTAGTGGTGTGCTTTACACCACTGCATCCGTCGCTTTGCATTGCACTTGGTGATGTAAGGCTTGGATGCAGTTGCTCGACCATGGAAATCCATTCCATGAAGCTCTCTACGCACTGTTGTTGTGCTAATCTGAAGGCCACATGAAGTTTGGAGGTCTTTAGCTATTGACTCTGCAGACAGTTGATGACTTCTGCGCACTGTGCTCTTCAGCATGTGCTCACACTGCTCTGTCATTTTATGTGGCCTACCACTTGGTGGCTGAGTTGCTGTTGTTCCCAGTTGCTTCCACTTTGTTATAATACCACTAACAGTTGACGTTGGAATACTTATTAGCAAGGAAATTTCAGGAATGGAATTTTTGCACAGGTGGCAGCCTGTCCCGGTAAATACTTTTTTGTGTGTTCCGCTTGAATTCACTGAGTTCTTGAGAGTGACCCATTCTTTCACAAATGTTTGCAGAAGCAGTTTTATACACCTATGGCTATGGAGGTAATTGGAACACCTGAATCCAATGATTTGGAGGGGTGTCTCAATACTTTTGGCAATATAGTGTGTGTGTGTATATATATATATTTATATATATATACAGTGCACAACATAAATGAGTATACCCCAACAGATTTGTCAGAGAACAGTTACTTTCCTTTCAGAATCAACATTTTCTCTGGGGCACTATACTACAAAATACTCCTACAAGTGAGGGCCATTGATTGTAAACAAGATTTGTTAATTTTCACACACAAAAAAAGTATTTGCCTTACAAATTCATTCAGGACCATGTTGCAATGAATGAATACACCCCAATGAAAGTCTTAGGAACAAAGCTAAATTGTAGACAACAAAATCCTAATTAACAAGAGTTCAGCTGCAGGTGAGTCTAATTATTCATTAAACAGGTGTAACGTACCTTGTGATGGAGCCTGATGTGTGGAGGTAGGCTTCCCTTACACCTCCAGCTCAGGAGTCCTGGTAAAGTGACAGGAGCGCTTGAGCACAGAGTGAGCATGGTCTTCCATTGCAGGGTGTCGGAAAGCTGCACATGGTTGGAGGGTGAGCAGGCCGTATGTTGCTGTGGAGCAGGCTGTACTTGCTAATGAGCAGGCTGTGTGTTGCCGTAGAGCAGACCGTGCATTGCTGTCGAGCAGGCTGTGCTGTAGAAAGACCGATGTGGCAAGTGGCACAAGTCAGCTGGGGCAGATGCAGAGAGTAGGGGCAGGCAGTTCAGGTTCGCAACTGAAAAGTAGATCAAGGTACAACACGGCAGGCAAAAGAATAGTCAAGGTCATGCCAGAGTTGACAACGGGAGGCAAATGGCTGTATAAGCAAGAGGAGCAGGCAGAGACATAAACCATGGACAAGCCAGGGGTAGGTACAGGCAGCGTTCAGGCAAGTTCAGGGTCAGATCAAGTCAATAACAGAGAGTCAATACAGGAACAGGTTTCAAATGCTTCAGAGAGCATAACAGAGCAAGTGGCAAGGACCCCAGGCCATAGTCCGCCTGGTGTTTGTGCATGCTCGCGCACTTGTTTGTGCTCCTGCCTCCCATTGCACCTTGTTCTTCTTCAGAAATGCAACAGTTGCCTTAGATGTGTGTTTTGGATCACTGTCATGTTGGAAAAGTGCATGACGACCAATGGCACTGAGTGATAGTAACATCTTCTCTTTCAATATAGAGCAGTACATCAGTGAATTCATGATACCATCAGATTCACAGATCCAGCTCCCTGACTCCAGCAGCACTCATGCAGCTCCACAGAAGGAAACTGCCTCCACCATGTTTCACTGTAGGCACCATGCATTTTTCTTTATAATTGTCAGGGCTCCCGGGTATGACCAGAGGTGTGTGACTGACGCAGGGAAACGCAGACTTCAGATATGTTATAAACAATATAATTGATTAACACTAACTGTCAGGGTCTGGACTTGAACCTGGGACTTCTACTGTGTCAGGCAGTAACTCTTCTCACTGAGCTACCTAGGATGCTGGACAACACTCTGCCTCTTCTATTGGATAATCCTGCCTTGTGCCTTGTTTGCTCTTGAACCTTGAACTCCTTGCTCCTCCCATGAACTTCCTATATAAGCCATGTCCTTGGACTTCCTCCATGCCAGATTATTGTGCCTTTCCAGCCAATATCCCGCTACTGTTCCTGCTGCTGTCTACTCCTCCGCTACTGATCTTTGGCTTGTTCCTGACCACGATTTCGTCTCATCCTAACGTACTACGATTGATCTGCTACCATATTTGTGACCGACCCTTGGCTTGTGACTGACTCTGCTTTCGTCTGATCCCTAACCTGTTGATCCGCTATTGGTTCCCAGTCTGCTCATTCCCTGGTGGGGTGATCCTGAGATCTGCGACCTGGTATTAACACGCAGCCCAATCCATCTCCACCATTAGGAGCTCTGGTAAATACCGGTTAATACTTAGACCCCGCACCTCAGGTGAGCCTGCGTCATTCCCAGGGGGATCCGCTGGTGTACCTATCCTGCTGGTTCCAGGTAAGCCTTTTACTGCTATAGCAACTGGTCTCTGAACCTGACCTTACACCGTGACACTAACAATACAAACATAAACGCAGTGCAATACTAAAACATAACACAGTGCAAACAAACCAACCAACCACCCACAGATAACAGTACATACAATGCAAGCGTCGTCAGGCAGGCCGGGTCAATATCAATCGGGCAGGTAGGTACAGGGGGAGCAAGCGGAGAATGGTCGGGGTCACAAGCCAGGTTCAGCAGGTAGCGGGCAGCGTAGTACAGAGGGTCAGGCAGAGGGATGGTCAGGAACAAGCCGGGGTCAGAGCAGGAGAAGTCAGCAGAGGTCCAGATCAGGCAGGGTCAGCAACAAGACAGGAACAGGAACAGGATGCAGGAACAGGATACAGGGCCCAGGAAAAACACACACCAAGGCCGAGTCTGCAGGTCTGGCCATCCCTTAAATACACCAGTATAAGCAGTTTCAGGTGTTTGGCTGGCTGCAAGGTTGAGTCTCTGATTGCTGGGAGCACCCGCTGGCCAGCCCTGGTACTGCAGCCCATAAGGCAGGTGAGTCCCACCATTGCTGGCCAGTCTATTCCTGACAGTACCCCCCCTCAAGGAGCGGCCTCAGGACGCTCCAAACAGTCCTAGCTGGGCAAAATGTTCCACCGCCCGGGTCTGGTAACTGGTGGGATATCAAAGACTGGCACACCAGGCAGGACTCCGGGCAGCGGCACACCGGGCAGGACACCGGGCAGAGGCCCATCGGGCAGCGGCACACCGGGCAGAGGCACACCAGGCAGAGGCACACCGGGCAGAGGCACATCGGGCAGAGGCACTCCGGGCAGAGGCACATCGGCTGGACTCCGGGCAGAGGCACATCGGGCTGGACTCCGGGCAGAGGCACATCGGGCTGGACTCCGGGCAGAGGCACATCGGGCTGGACTCCGGGCAGAGGCACATCGGATCACCAGGCGAAGCAGCAGGCACCGGGCCCCCAGGCGGGGCGACAGGCATCGGGCCCCAGGCGGAGCGACAGGTCTCGGGCCCCCAGGCGGAGCGGCGGGCGCCGGACCCCCAGGCGGAGCGACAGGTCTCGGGCCCCCAGGCGGAGCGGCGGACGCCGGACCCCCAGGCGGAGCGACAGGTCTCGGGCCCCCAGGCGGTCGAGCGGCGGGCGCCGGACCCCCAGGCGGAGCGGACAGGTCTCGGGCCCCCAGGCGGAGCGACAGGTCTCGGGCCCCCAGGCAGGACTCCGGGCAGCGGCACACACGGGCAGGACTCTGGGCAGAGGCCCATCGGGCAGCGGCACACCGGGCAGAGGCACACCAGGCAGAGGCACACCGGGCAGAGGCACATCGGGCAGAGGCACTCCGGGCAGAGGCACATTGGGCTGGACTCCGGGCAGAGGCACATCGGGCTGGACTCCGGGCAGAGGCACATCGGGCTGGACTCCGGGCAGAGGCACATCGGATCACCAGGCGAAGCAGCAGGCACCGGGCCCACCAGGCGGAGCAGCAGGCACCGGGCCCCCAGGCGGAGCAGCAGGCACCGGGCCCCCAGGCGGGGCGACAGGCACCGGTGCCCCCAGGTGGGGCGACAGGCATCGGGCCCCCAGGCGGAGCGGCGGGCGCGCCGGGCCCCCAGGCGGGGCGACAGGCATCGGGCCCCCAGGCGGGGCGACAGGAATCGGACCCCCAGGCGGAGCGGCGGGCGCCGGACCCCCAGGCGGAGCGACAGGTCTCGGGCCCCCAGGCGGAGCGGCGGGCGCCGGACCCCCAGGCGGAGCAACAGGTCTCGGGCCCCCAGGCGGAGCGGCGGGCGCCGGACCCCCAGGCGGAGCGACAAGTCTCGGGCCCCCAGGCGGAGCGGGGCGGACGCCGGACCCCCAGGCGGAGCGACAGGTCTCGGGGGCCCCCAGGCGGAGCGGCGGGCGCCGGACCCCCAGGCGGAGCGACAGGTCTCGGGCCCCCAGGCGGAGCGACAGGTCTCGGGCCCCCAGGCGGAACGGCGGGCGCCCAGACCCCCAGGCGGAGCGACAGGCCTCGGGCCCCCAGGCGGAGCGGCGGGCGCCGGACCCCCAGGCGGAGCGACAGGTCTCGGGCCCCCAGGCGGAGCGACAGGTCTCGGGCCCCCAGGCGGATGACAGGTCTCGGGCCCCCAGGCGGAGCGGGTGGGCGCCGGACCCCCAGGCGGAGCGACAGGTCTCGGGCCCCCAGGCGGAGCGGCGGGCGCCGGACCCCCAGGCGGAGCGACAGGTCTCGGGCCCCCAGGCGGAGCGGCGGGCGCCGGACCCCAGGCGGAGCGACAGGCACCGAGACACCAGGCACAACAGTGGGCTCCGAGTCAACTGGCTTGACCGCTGGCACTGGGTCAGACATTGGATCGTCTAGCTGGACAGTGGGCATCGGGTCACCAGGCATCAGATCATTTGGCTCGACAGCGGGCACCGCGTCATCTGGCAAGGCAGTGGGCTCCGAGTCAACTGGCATGACCGCGGGCACTGGGTCAGACATTGGATCGTCTGGCTGGACAGCGGGCATCGGGTCACCAGGCATCAGGTCATTTGGCTCGACAGCGGGCACCGCGTCATCTGGCAAGGCAGTGGGCTCCGAGTCAACTGGCATGACTGCGGGCACTGGGTCAGACATTGGATCGTCTGGCTGGACAGCGGGCATCGGGTCACCAGCATCAGGTCATTTGGCTCGACAGCGAGCACTGCGTCATCTGGCAAGGCAGTGGGCACCACGTCACCAGGCACGACAGTGGGCTCTGAGTCAATTGGCACGACAGCGGGCACCGGGTCATCAGGTACCGGGATTGTCTGGCTCGACAGCGGGTATCGGGTCACCAGGTATGACAGCGGGCACTGGGTCACCAGGCATCAGGTCATTTGGCTCGCCAGCGGGCACCGCGTCATCTGGCAAGGCAGTGGGCACCGAGTCACCAGGCACGACAGCGGGCTCTGAGTCAATTGGCACGACAGCGGGCACCGGATCAGGTACCGGATCGTCTGGATCAACAGCGGGCATCGAGTCAACTGCCTAATAGGATCATCAGGCTGGATCAGTTCATCAGGCTGGGTAGAGGCATCAGGCTGAGTAGAGGCATCAGGCTGAATACAGGCATCAGGCTGAGTACAGGCATCAGGCTGGGTACAGGCATCAGGCTGGGTACAGACCTCAGGCTGAAGTGCGGGTGCCGAGGCACCAGGCTGAACCACGGAAGGCCGGTTCTCAGACGGCAGGCTGACCGGTTTGGATACTGGCAGGATGGTATTGGTTGGAAAGAATTTTCGCCTTTTCCTGGTTTTAAACTACTGGAGCACTGCAAGTAAACGCAGGTCTGCAAACGAATGGAGCAGCTGGAGACAGAGAAGAGCTGGAGGATGGAACAGGGGAGGGAACAGTTGCTACAGAAGACTTCTTTACAGGGTTAAAGGCAGGATAGGTGCAGCGAGTGGGAACAGGGTACTGACATGCGGTAGATAGCAGGGCAGGAGGAGCTGTTGGGAATGCAGGAACAGAGCTTTGAGGAAATAGATTAGAAGCAGGACTGGGTCTTTGTAAGCTGACTGAGGCTGGGTGCAACAAATCTGTCCATGTCTGCAGTATGGGTTGAACAAAGCTGAGCTTACACAAAGCCTGTCTGGTCAATGACTGCACTGCGTTTATATACAATCTCTTAGTATCTGTGGCGAACATGCAGAATAACGCTCCAGAAAGTAATCCACATCATCCTCTAATAACCATACCAGGGACTCTACCTGGTCGGCACTAAATGGCGGCAAAAATTCATCCCTGCATTCGGGGGTACCAGATGAAACCAACTCCGCACAAACCTGAATCAATGGCTGCACCTCAGAGAATTCTGTGCCCTGATCTACTAGAACATGAGCGATCTGTATACATTCTAGCAGTTCATCCCGGGTATACTCCTTCAGAGTTTGATAAGCATACTCTCTGTCATCAAACACTAGCAGATATAAATACACAACCTCATCAAGATCCATCCTTCCCAGCAACAAGCCAAGATGGCTTCCCTGTGCAGCCACTTCTGGTCAGGATTGGCCTTGGTGTAATGTCAGGGCTCCCGGGTATGACCAGAGGTGTGTGACTGACGCAGGGAAACGCAGACTTCAGATATGTTATAAACAATATAATTTATTAACACTAACAATACAAACATAAACGCAGTGCAATACTAAAAACATAACACAGTGCAAACAAACAACCACCCACAGATAACAGTACATACAATGCAAGCGTCGTCAGGCAGGCCGGGTCAATATCAATCGGGCAGGTAGGTACAGGGGGAGCAAGCGGAGAATGGTCGGGGTCACAAGCCAGGTTCAGCAGGTAGCGGGCAGCGTGGTACAGAGGGTCAGGCAGAGGGATGGTCAGGAACGAGCCAGGGTCGGAGCAGGAGAAGTCAGCAGAGGTCCAGATCAGGCAGGGTCAGCAACAAGACAGGAACAGGAACAGGAACAGGATGCAGGAACAGGATACAGGGCCCAGGAAAAACACACACCAAGGCCGAGTCTGCAGGTCTGGCCATCCCTTAAATACACCAGTATAAGCAGTTTCAGGTGTTTGGCTGGCTGCAAGGTTGAGTCTATGATTGCTGGGAGCACCCGCTGGCCGGCCCTGGTACTGCAGCCCATAAGGCAGGTGAGTCCCACCATTGCTGGCCAGTCTATTCTTGACAATAATCCTCACCTTTGCAACGCCATACAGTTTTGAAACCATCAGTTCCAAAACCGTTTATCTTGGTCTCACCACTCCAGAATACAGGGTCTCACTGATCTTCTGGTCGACACCCATGCATGCCATCCACTGCAGTGCACGCCGTATTGTATCACGGGAAACAATCACCCAAGTTTGGCTTTCTACTTCTTTAGCTAACTGCAGTGAACTTGCATGGCAATTTTCTTCAACCCTTCTCATCAGAAGATGCTCTTGTCAAGGTGTTAACTTCTGTGGATGGCCTGGACGTTTCAGTGAGATGGTTGCAGTTCCATCTTTGTAAACATATTGTGTCACTTTTGCTACAGTATTCTGACTGATAAATAAAGCTTTGCTGAGCTTTTTCACCTTTCTTGTGTAAAGAAATTATTCTTTAATAAATGCAGCTCCCCAACACCAGCACTTATGCAGCCCCACAGGACACAGCCACCTCCACGTTTCACTGTAGGCACCATGCATTTTTCTTTATACTCCTCACATTTGCAATGCCATACAGTTTTGAAGCCTTCAGTTCCAAAAATATTTATCTTGGTCTCAGCAGTCCAGAGTACAGAGTCCCAGTAGTCTTTTTTTTCAGCATGGAACCTGGTAAATTTTAGGCGGGCTTTTTTGTGCATGGCTTTTAGGAGAGGCTTCCTTTGTGAGTGACACCAATGCATGCCATTCCTTTGCAGTGTACGCCGTATTGTGTCATGGAAAACAATCACCCCGGTTTTGCTTTCTACTTCTTTAGCTAACTGCAGTGAACTTGCATGGTGATGTTCTTCAACCCTTCTCATCAGAAGACACAAGGTGGACGACCTGGACGTCTCTGTGAGATGGTTGAAGATCCATCTTTGTTAAGTTTTTACATCACTTTTGTTACACTATTCTGACTGATAAGCAAAGCCTTGCTGATCTTCTTGTAGCCTTCACCTTTCTTGTGTGAAGAAATTATTTTCTTTCTCAGGCCTTGTGACATTTTTCTTCCATGTGGTTCCATTGCGGACAGCATGAAATGGGAAGGGGTTATCTTTGTTAAGTAACTCCATTTTATAATCAACTGTCTGCTGGACACCTGTTTAATGAATAATTAGACTCACCTGTAGTCGAAGTCCTGTTAATTAGAATTTTGTTGTCTAAAATTTAGCTTTCCTCCTAAGACTTTCAATTCATTTTTGCAACATGGTCTTAAATACATTTGTTCGAAAAAATACTTTTTTGTGTGCAAATTAACAAATATTATTTGCAATCAATGGCTCACATTTGTGAAAGTATTTTGTAGTATAGTGTCCCATAGAAAATGTTGATTTTTTTATATATATACATATGACAACAGGCTCCTGTGATGGCACTCTGGCCCTACCAGGATTTAATAGACTGAATAAATTTTTCATTTATAAGTCTTTTTTACTGGAATTGCATATTGGTGACGGATGCAAAAAGCAGAACAGGACATTAATTAGGAACCGTATTTACTCACTTATTTTTTCATTCATTATTAATTTGATTTGTTTTATTTTTCATCTTATCTCCTTATTGGCAGGGGACATCAAAACAGTTGAGGCTTGATACTTACAAGAGGGCAAAATGACATACTGGCTAGCAATGGATCATCACTAACATTCACAATCATCTATTAATGCAGAGAGTACTAGAGCTGAATAGGCTCTTCTCTGCAAAAGCATTCCTGAAATGCTGGAGAAATTCCCAGAAATACTGAAAAAAATCCACCCAGGCCAATAAGGCAGAAAGGGAACATCTGAAATACAGTCAGTAAATTATTGCCCATACCTCCAACCCTTTTAGAATGGCAGCCTCTTGAGCTTTAGTAAACAGGAGCCTTGAATGATGGAGACAGTTGATCCAGGAAAAGGCAATAAACCATTAGGTCTCATTCATACCATACATGCAGGAAAAACTGATGGAAACTGACACGCAGATTTCACTTGCAGAGACTTCAGTTTTCATACGTGCGTCAATGAGTTTCATACACACTGCAGACTCCTGAGCAGAAAAGATGTGTACGTGATACTCGTGTTGTGGTGTGAACAGGGCACATAGAGAACAATTGATTTTGTTGTGCCCTTGCAGACCGCATGCAGAAAAACTGACGTCTCTGCACCATGGTGTGAACGAGCCCTTATAAAGCATGATCCAATTTGCTCTAATAAAGAGCGTTGCTAGATAATGTAAATAAAACATATACCGTATGTTATAGTTGTTGCAGGTCAGACTGGCCGTTATAATATGGGGTGTTTTGGTTGAGACTTTCCTCACATTTTATTCCTTTAAAATCGCTACAGGCACTGAAAACTGGTCTGTGGACTTTTTACACAGTGGGGGTTATTTAGCAAAACTGTAGAGCACAAAATCTGGTGCAACTCCTCATAGAAACCAATCAGCTTCCAGGTTTTATTGCAAAGCTTAATTGAACAAGCTGAAGTTAGAAACTGATTGGCTTCCATGCACAGATTCCCCAGATTCTGAATGCACCAGCTTTAGTAAATACCCCCCCAGTGTGTCTTCTGGACTGGATTCCTAAGCAATGCTGCTTGCTAGACTGCAGATCTTCACCTACCCCCTACCCCTCACTGTCCCATTCCACTTGTATATACATGATTCCTTTTCTAGCAAAACAATGCTGCTACCTTGACTACCCACGTACTGTGTGTATGGAAAGAGCTATGATATACTTGGTTCTGAGACAATGGTAGAATTAGGGGTCACCCTTCAAAAATGCAAGTGGTTTTCCAAGACAGTAGCATAAGCAACATGTCTACATTTTCAGTAGTTTGACTATTCTATGAAAGTTTCTTAGATTTTCAGATCATTGCTCCATTAAGACTTTAAAACTTTGTCTAGGACTATGGCTTGCAGAAATCATGAAATTGAATTTACATTGGTTACTAAAGGACATCTTGAGATTTATACAATATAGGAGTTTTTAACCCAGCCATTCTCAGCCAGGGTTCTGTGAAACCCTAAGGTTCTGCAAGTGGTTGCTAGGGGTTCCTTGAGCTGTGACTGATTGAATTCCGATGTTATGGTGCTGGAATAGCTCCAGAGCCAACACTACATGGCAGAACTAGCGGCATGACATCAATGATCTTTTTAGGTGCCTGTAATAGTGGCATTCTGACCAGCGCTGTAAGGTTACATTCTTTCAACTGGCCACCAATGTAAGGGACATTTTCCATTTTCCCAATTACCCCTGTAAAATTGTTTTAGCAGGGTTCCCCAAAGCCTGAAAATTACTTTAGAGGTTAATCTGCGGCAAAAAAGTTGGGAGAGGCTTCTTTAACCCTATTCCTGTACCTCCACTGGCACTTTAGCAGGATCTTAACCATGTGGGCTTGCTTGTCACACAGTGTGGCCAGGAAAAAATTAAAGAGGAACAAGAAGGGCTTTTTCATTAGTGGAGAAAATGTTCATAATGCAGGAAAGATGTCCAATCAGAACACAAGGGTTACCACTGCAGGAAAATAAACAATTTCTAGTATCGTCACCCATTTGATGGGTGGTGAACGGGATTCTTGGTTATTATTATTGACAGCCAATTACAAAATATCATTGTGAGTGGCTGCAAAGTGATCAGGTGATTGTGATAGCAAATATTAGAAGCTATCCCACTGGAGTAAATTCAATTAGGTTTTATAAGGGTGGGGGGTTCTTCCTTTAGGCCAACTGTGGGTTTAGGGTTTTGTGGATGCAGATTTTGAATTTATTTATTTTTGTCTTTTAGTTGAACTGGTTGAAATGTGTGTTTTTTTCAACCCAACTGGTTAGCTATGTAACTATAATTAGATAGAAAGATAGTCCCCCTCCTCACACACCGACCAGCACGGAGTCCCTCAGGGGGAGGACAGAGTAAGTTGTGCTGTGAGGGGGCATGTGCCTCACACTGATAGAACCCTCCACACTTCCTCCAGACAGACGGGAACCCGGCGTGACTAGAGCTCTCCTTCTCCACATGCCTCGGCTTCCCGCGCTTTCCCCAGCTGCCAGCAAGTTCCGCAGTTTGGAGGCATAGATCCTAACCCTGTCCAACGTCGCCGCCATCTTACCAGCAACCGCCAGGAATCAAAACAAGAAGTGAATTGTGAGACGACAAATGATGAGTTCTACATTCTGTATTACATTAAAAGATGTGCAGGAAACTCAGAAAAGCATACAGGATTTGATTCATGCAACGCCAATAATGACCTGTTCCAGTCTTGATGCACTCGCTGCACATAAGCTGTTCTTTAAATGTGAACTGCTACAGAAGACCGGATCTTTCAAGCTGCATGTACTGTGAAGTACTTGAATCTCAAAGATCACAACAGAGACCCTGAAGTGGCGTTTCAGTTGATTTCTAACAATTTGGAAACCCCTGTTGTATGTTTTCATTCGGGGTGCATTAAATGCAGTGCAGAGTCTCCCAGTAAAGACATGTAAAGCAGTTGTGACTCATAGCAATCATGGACAGGCATTGGCATTAGCAGCAAAAATGATGGGCATTCCAGTGCATGTGGTAGTCCCCCATACAGCTGCATCATGCAAGAAAGCTGCAATCTCTGGTTACGGTGCTGTAATAGTGGAATGTGATCCTACAGATGAGTCTCGAGCAGTGGTGGCAGCTAAGATTGTAGAGAAGACTGGTGGTATTTTGGTTCATTCACATCAGGATCCAGCTGTCATTACAGGTCAGGGGACCATTGGACTTGAAGTTCTACAGCAGGTGCCAGCAGTTGAAGCCTTGGTTGTACCATTTGGAGGAGGTGGCATGTTGGCAGGAATAGCTGTTGCTGTGAAGACAATTAAATCAGATGTATGGATATTTGCAGCTGAACCTCTAAATGCAGATGACTGCTATCGCTCAAAGGTGAATGGTGTTTTAACCCCAAATCTCCAGCCTCCAACCACTATTGCAGATGGTGTGAAGACTAGCATTGATCCAAACACATGGCCGGTTATAAGAGACCTGGTGGTTGATGTGTTTGTAGTCACTGAAGAAGAAATTAAGCATGTGATGCAGTTGGTGTGGGAGAGGATGAAGCTTCTAATTGAACCCACAGCTGGTCTTGGTTTGGCTGCTGTCCTTTCCAGACATTTTTTCAAGAGACAACACAAGATTTACAAAACATTTGTATAATTCTATGTGGAGGCAACCTGGACTTGAGCAGCGTAGACTGGGTGAAGGAGCCTCTGAAACAAAGCAACTGAATGTCTCAAACAAAACCTAACTTCTCTACTCACAAAAAAACTGATGACTATTCTTTCCTTTTAATGTTATTCACTCATCTTAAAATTAAGAAAACTGCTGACTTGTTTCCTTTACTTGTTAATCACTTATAAAATACATACAAATCATAACTGAAAAAAAAAGATAGATAGATAGATAGATAGATAGATAGATAGATAGATAGATAGATAGATAGATAGATAGATAGATAGATCCAATCAAAATCTATGTATTTTTCCCCCATTTTTTTCCGTTATAAAAAAAGAAAACCACTTATTTATGGTGTCAGAAGAGATTGTTATTTTTTATTCAAATCTATAACAAGGTGAGTTAGATAAAAAAAAAATACAAAAAAGGAATATGTGCACAAAATAAAGCTCTTGAATAGCAATGCTGAAAACAGCAATGCTTATGTAGGTTGTAACCCTGTCATAAATGAAATGGTAAAAACATCTCTTAATTGTTCATTGAGAGCAGATCAAAATACTTTATGTTCTGTCATCAATTAGTTGGGCTTCATGAGACCTTTAGCTGTAATCATAGGAATAGTACAACATTCAACTTTTGTTGAAATTTGCATCCACCGAACGTTGTGCTACAAGGATGGCTGTCCAACAGCCAGGAAGGAGAAAGATGAATTATATGAGCATGAACTGGATGTCCAGTAGGAACCTAGACAAGACTGTGCCTCAGCATTGACCTTGTACACAATCATTAGGAAGCACTTTAGGTCTGCGGAAGTTACTGCCCTCTTA